GCCACATCAGTCACGTGACCTCGATGACGCAACACTATTTTCATATTTTACCCTAAAGCAAATATAGGGACCCTCTTATTTTTGTCCTATACACCAGTTCTCCTCAACCATTTTCTAATATCATTCACCCCTATAAGTTTTCCACAACACCTCATTCACCCCATTTCGAAAAAAAAGCCAAAAACGTACTAAATTGAAATATAAAATTCTTTATTATGACTTAACTATACATCAAACTACAGCTAGAATGAATAGATTATAAAATAAACAAAACCCATGGGTGGACCATTCACCAAGTTGAGAAGCACTGCTATAAACAACATGGCGCATTGATAAAGCAGGTAAAACTGCTCAAAAATATTGACCTAAGCAGGATATATTTTTCATTCAGCATAGCATAATATACTTGATGTTACAACTGATAAAAAAAGGCGAAGAAATGAAACACACTAAGTGGTAGATATGGTTGGACAAATAAAACATTTTGAAACAAAAGAGCATAAAGATGAGCATATACGTGTAATGTATGCCTGATGATCCTAATAATTTTTTCCAGGTAATAAATTTATGTTTTGTGCTGTCGACAATCATTTCTAGATTATACATACTATGTACATAACGTTCTCAACCATCCTTTCTAAAACGTAATACTTGCAGGAATTTTACAGAGTGGCCCAAAATGTTCAAGCAATATAATGTGTGTTGATTTCAAAAGTAAAAACAAAACAAAACTATCATACATGAAAAAAAAAATGTAGTTGGCTGTCTATATTATTCGTGACTCCCATCCCCTGTAAACCAAACACTGAATGTGTAACAGAGAGCCGTGGAAGATGATACTACAGAATGTAAAGCTTGGTAACGAGGAACCCACTTTTAAGAAAATAAAAGTTTTGAGACGGCTTGACTGGGTAATGAAAATACGTTATTATAATTGTACGACGTTTCGACAAGATTTTGTCATCAAAACTTTTAAAATGTAAAGTTCCTCTTCTACTGTACACTGAAAATAGGCATAGCTCATAGCTGGTGTACAACTTAAAGTTGTCTCTGTTTTAAATTTCAATTCTATTAGTTTATTTATCTCTGAGATAAAAGAGTCAAGCCATAACTACAGAGGATTAGTTACACTTTATAAGATAAAAACGCCTTTAGTGTACAGAAGCACCAGGGTGTCGCTACAGATCAGAGGCGAGACACTAGGAGGGAAATGTTCAGCTCCTATATATTTGGTTTACAGCTAATTACCGACCACTTGAGAGTGAAATACTGTCTGGTAAATTTTATACCTGAAAGTTTATGTTACAGACCGTTTAGGCAAATACGAAGCAACGCTCTCATCCGCAAAATAAATGGTATGATTATGAAAAGAACTCTTTAACCGAAAAAAAAATTTCTATGAAGTTGGGAAAGCGAACATTGATTTCAAGTTGATAAAGGCTTCCAAGCTTCCTACCACATCTCCAAATCAGCATGTGTTTTCACGCATGAAAAAAATGGTAGAAAAAACCGTAATCTCAGCAACCACGTCCAATCACGTACCTGTCAAGTCCTTTGATACTTATTCAATAGATTTCTCTGCTTCTGGTTTGCTTATACTTCGTTTTGAAAGTCGAATTTCGCATACATTTGAAAATCTGTAGAAAGTCTTCAACAAGTATGGTCTAAAATTGACCTCGCTGTCCTTAACAGAAGCTCATTACACTAGAAAATGAGGCGTTGAGCAATAGCAATAGCCATCAAACTGAGTACAATCGACCGTGGAGAATCCGAAGCATTGCTCTAATGATGCATGATTAGCCCTAAATATGTTTCAAAAACAGACAAGAGACAAAATTTGTTATGGCGGTAAAAAGATCAAAGTAATAAAAATTAGTGAAAAGGCTTAAAAACTCATCATGCATTTATAATAAACTAATTTTCGAGTGCTTTGGCCAAATTACAAAAAAACAATGTAATAATGACGATGAAGACGCAGGCTATAAAACAACTAGGTCCACGCATCCTTTCCCCAAACTTCTCCTTTTACATCCAGGCTAAACCTACGATCACTTTTATACTACAAATGCACATTATTTCATGTTAATTATTTGGTTCCCGGTGGCTCAGCTTCAGAGCTTGTAACGCTGAAAATTCGGACGCAGCGTAAATAATCCATTATATAGATTTGTGCTAAAACAAACACAATTAATTGTTAATGTATTTTACGAATAATATTTAGATCATTTACGTTAATGAACTGTATAACCAAGTGCGACTTTACCGGTACCCAGTGCATTTCTGGAGGTGTTCTGGCAAATGATTAAATTACACGTTATTGCTAGCAACAGATTATTGAGAATGTTGAGTAAACATTAAATACATACAAAAAAGAAACACTTAGAGAAAAAGCTAAAGAGATATATCTTGTAAAACGAGGTGTTCAGAAAATATGTTAGCAAATTTATTAACATTTATTTCTGAAAAAATAAAGCGTTAGGACACACGTTGTCTGTGAAAAACAATGCGTAAAGTAGCGCAGCAAATCATTTCAAAAGCAGAAGCACATAAGATTTGTCTCTGGAATTTTAGTGGACAACTTTGCTCGCATAATTTCCAGATATTCTGTGTAAGTACTGGTCTGCTGAACGGTAATTTATTACATAGGAGTGCCGCGAGATACCTCAACTAGAACAAGATTAGATTAAAATATAGTGGATTATTCTACCTTTAAGTTGAAACACTGTAATCTAAGTTTTCCTACATATATCACAACAAGAACAGCTAAGTACCAAGTACACCAGTTCCAAGTAATATGTTCTTCTTCTCTTTTCAATTCAAACGGCCCTTTTCAGGGCCACCACATCTTGAAAAGGAGAAAGTCATTTCGTGTGCAACACGAAGCCTTTTCACTTTCATTCATTACCAGTTTCTCCACAACAATGTATATAACGTGCGAGTAGAAATAAAGGTTCCCCACGGGCGATACAGAGTTCTCTCCTACGAAAGAGTACTATTCACGAATGTCTAAGTAGATAAGATAAAGAAATAGTGACCGAACTGGAAAGTTTTACTATTCTATCAAGGTTTAAAAATATTT